TTGTATTAATTTTACATTTTTTTWWWWAAATTGTAAAAAATAGGGCTGGAGTTTAGCTGAGGGGTACGGTGTATGTAAGTTCCTGGGTTAGATCTCCAGCACTGCAAAAACTAAAATAAAGAATTACAAAAATATACCCTTCACCCAGCTTCCCTGAATGCCAGCATCTTTTTCTCMCCAGCATTTTTAACAGTGGACAAGCAAAACACAGAAATTAATCTTGGAATACCGCCACCTTTAACCCAAGCGGCTGACCGTATTCAGCTTTCAGCAGTGCTTCCGGTGCGTGGCTTCTGTTAGAGGATGCAGTCGGATCCCACGTTGCCGYGGTGGACGCTCCTCTAGTCTTCCCTGATGGGGTCTTTCAAGTGTCCTGGCCAGTGGTTTGGTAGAACGGCCTCCAGAGGGGCTGRTGTGATTCTATCCAGGGTGCATTTGGGGCGGGCATTTGAGTTCGCAGTGCTGATAGGTCCCCAAGCTGGCGAGGATGACCGTGGCCACTGGAGGGCGTCTGCTGGGCTTCTCCTTGCAGCTTCCTTTGGGAAGAAATCCAGCCTCTTCGGAGGTTGCACGGTAATGGGTTCCACGTTTTTTTCTAAGTTAGAGTTAGAGAAGAAACTAGGAGGTACAGCTTATCTTTAAAGCGCTTAATATTTCCCGACTGTAAAAAGAGTTCATTTATGAGAAGATGAACAGAGGAAATTTGAGAAAATATAAAATCACCATTCTTAACACTTTCAACGTTTTGATTTATTATGCCCTATTTATTTAATTGTTTGAAAGGTATCGACTTATAAAAGAAAAATAGTCAATAAATAACAAATGTGACCAAAGTGGAGAAGAAATAGAAGGGAAGACAAGTGAGTTAAGAGATAGAGGCAGTGTCAGTGTCTTCATAACAGTCTGTTTTTTTGTTTCTGTAGTACCAGGGTTTGAACTTGRGGTGCTTAATCACTGGGCCTCACTAAATTGCTGAGGCTGGCCTTGAACTCGCTAYCCTCCTGCCTCAGCCTCCGAGGCACTGGGATTACAGGCCTGCAGCACTGTGCCTGGCCTTTCCTGAATATCTTAACCCACTGCCTTAAGTTTTCAATTCTATGTAAGATGATGGGGTATAATGGGMTCATTGGATCTTGCTTCTAATTAACATTTTTCATAGACTTTTGGGGAGTCTTTTTAAAGCCCATCCCCGTCCCAGGAAAAATTTCCAGATTCTTTATTTGAAAACATTGTCACCCATTTCATTTTATCAAGAAAGCAGTGGAAACATATTGTGGGAAACATCGCCATCGTGCGGCCATTTAGAATATTGCTGCTGGTGTGTTTTTGTAGCTGTTAAGGGCCCATATAATGCTGTGGTCCTTTACAAGGGCTCCATCTGGTCTGCAGGTGAGGTGTTCTGCTCTAAAGAGGAAAAAAAGTAGTAAACCACGTGTTTGAACACTGTGTGCTACAGATAATAAAGTGGGCCCTAAAGGCACTAATATGAGAATGGAAATTGTTGTGCATTTAGCAGAATTATGGGTGATCTACCAGCATTATGTTCTTAACRTTTGTAAATGGGTTCCATATAATTTTTAGGATATGATATTAAAACTTAAAAAACATCACAACAGCTTGGTGTGACTGTAATCCCAGCAAGTAGGGAGGTTGAGGCAGAAGGATGGCAAGTTTAAGGCCAGTTTTGGGAACTTAGCAAGGCTGTCTCAAAGTAAAAAATGGCCGGGGATGTAGCTCAGTGGTAAAGCACCCTTAGGTTTAATTCCCCCTCACCCCAAAAAAGAAAAAAATCATCACAACATATAACATATAATTCATACCACCTGTCTACTGGGATGAGGAAACCAAGCCCAGGTAGGAGAACTCCAGTAGAGCAGTCTAAGGAGTAGAAAACCTTTTTCATCCAAGTGACCCCCAAAATGTGAGTCATACTTACAAGGATTGGTTTTTAACAGCTTTACTAAGCTACAGTTAATATACCATATAATTCAATGTTTTTAGTGTATTCACATCATTGTGCAAACCTCACCATTTTAGAACATTTTCATTACCCTAAATGAAAATCCCATACCCTTAGCCATCACTCCCCACTCTCATGTTTCCTCTCAGCCCAGGCAACTTGTTTGCTTTCAGTCTCCATAGACTGTCCTGTTCTAGACATCATACATGTATATGTATGTATATACGTGTGTGTGTGTGTGTGTGTGTGTGTGTGTGTTTGGGGGGGTGAGGCTGGGCACTGAAGTCATAGCTTTGTGCATTATAGGCAAGCACTGTACCTCTGAGCTACATCTCCAGTCCCTAAGCATTTCATATTAATGGACTCCTACAATACTTGGTCTTTGGTGACTGACTTCTTTCACTAAGCATGTATTAGAACTTCATTTATTTTTATTTGCTAAATAACATTGCACTGTATGGATGGGCCACCTTCTGTGGTTCATCCTCTCATGTGGGGGAATCTTTCCCTGMAGGTCAGGCATGTGTGTTTCAGAGGGAGTCCTGTGCTTCAGTGGTAAAGTACCCCTGCATTCAATCCCCAGTACCACACACACAAAAAAAAGTTATTTTATTTTCTATGCCAGGTACTTCGCAACTATTAGGATGATTCCATCTCAACCTCCTAGGTGCAGTCACTTGCCAAGTGTATCAATTATTGTGTAACAAATGACCCCAATCTTACTGACTCAAAATAACAATAGTTTATCATTGATCAGGGTTCTTTGGGTGCACATGGCTAGAGGGGCAGTGGCCTGGCAGGAATGAGATAATCCCCTCCATGTCTGGCAGTGGCTGGGTGCCCTGCACRTGGCCTTCCACACAGCTTCCTCCTGTGGCTATGGCCCATGTAGAGGAGAGCTTGGGCACTCTCACTGTGGGGAAATCACTGAGGACAGTCTAGATTCAAGGATGGATACAAAACCCACTGCAAAGAGCCCTGAATACTTCAAAAGGAGGATCTGGGGTTGTTTAACAGTCTACCACTCCAAGTTCTTTAACAGGGAGAGTGGGAACAGTCCATCAAATCCAAACTCTGGTATGTTGCGGGGCCCAGCCCTTCCCCAAGGGGGAGGTCAACACATGCTGGGACTCTTGCTGCCTTGGTGCTTTTCCATATCTTTTGAGGTACCTGGATCTTGGATGCCTTTTAAATAGAATTTTAGTCGAAGGGATTGCGTGGTCCGCTCTCAGACTCTGGGTGCAGGCCTATGGGAACGTGGCAGTGGTTTCTTTTGTCGTACCCACTTTGACTCAGGAGGCCCAGCTTGCCCAGAGGCTGCAGAGGGGTCCTCCTCTCGGTCCACGTGCTGGGTGGGGAGCAGCCACATGGCTACAGTGAGTGGGTGGCCTGAGCGGTCGGAAAGGCCTTCTGTGGGTGGGCACGGGAGCCAGTGGCTTGAGGCCCCAGTCAGGGAGGACTCAGGTCTCAGTCGTCACAGCCGTCCCTTCAGTCCCTTCACTCCCAGACTGCGGGCCAGGGGAGCCCAGGGGCGGGTTGCCTGCAGAGGGACATCAGCACGGGGGCGGGCGTCATGTGAGCGGGGGCTCCAGGCTGTGCCACTTTCTGTCTTGGAGGCCACCTTGGGTCTCTGCCACAGACAGCCCCCAGGTCCCTGGTGTCCCCTGTTGCCCCATAGGTCRGGATGGGCAGGGCTGGAAAGGACGCACAGGAGGAGCAGGGGTTGGCTTGTCCAGGGGCTGGACTGAGGCTGGGCGGATGATGCAGAGGACAGGCCGGGGTGCGTCGGGCTCCCCATCAATTATCTGTTACTTGGAAGATTTCCTTCGAGCCCTGTCCCTTGGGTTGGGGGTCTTCACTGCTGCCCAGTGCAGCGCCCATTGATGTGGAAGGCTTTTGGGACTCAGTGCCCTTCACACTCGGTTCTTGGAACTGACCAGGACTTTGGCTGGGGGCTCCTGACCAGGGAGCGTGGGGGCAGAAGTGAGAGGCCAGTGGGAAATGGAATCCCAGAACTTTGGAGGTGAGGTTCCTCAGTAAAGAAGCTAAAAATGACAGGGGTGCTGCAGTTTTATTTAGGGGCTCTTACTGAGCAGTGGGAACCACCCCATAAATGCACACTACCCAGCTGCCCCAGTAAGACAGMCAGCCAGCCCAGGCTGATAACCCACCCATGGTGGGTCTCCAGGTCAGCTGGGCCCTGCACTGGCTCCTGGTTATCCATCTGTTTTTCTCCAGGCTGGAAGTCAGAGAGCCCCCCAGTGGCCTGGAAGGATTCTCCAACACCTGCCCTGCTCCAACTGCTGAGGCAGTGTCAGCAACAGTACAGGCACAAGGTCACTGCTCTGGAGGGACACTGGCATCTCTGGAGGACTGGAATGGCCTGGGACCTCCACATTAGACTAGGGGCTGGCTCTGTGACTCCAGAAAGTCCCACGTCCCAGGGCTTCAGTGCTCAGGTCTGCAAAGTGCCACTGCTGTCCAAGCCTTTGTTCCTTGACAGGTGCAGAGTCAGGGCGACGTAGATGGGGTCAGAGAAAGCCAGGAAGGTCCCTGGGCATCTAAGCAGAAATAGTTGGGTCTACCTTCCTGTCTCTTCAGCCTTGGGAATGTCAGGTTTTTGTGCCTCGGTGTCCTCATCTGAATACTGGGTCAGTAAGAATGGTTGACTCATAACACTGGGCTGGCAGCTTAAATGGAATAGCAGTGATGACACTGCATCTGGGCTGGGATGACGAGGCTCYGTAGGTAGAAACTTAATTACTAGTATGTGAGTCATCTGAGGGCCCTGGAGAGAGACATYGCCATGTATAGTATGTGGATGGGGAAGGTGCAGCTTGGATGTGCCCAAGGCTACCAGGAGCAGTGTCTACAGAGCAGAAGCACAGGCCCGAGGCCCTTATTTCCATCAGGTCTGCCCAGCCTCTCAGCCCTATCACCAGGGCAGCCCCATCTGCCCCAGCTGCATCCCAGGTCCATTTTCTAGAGCCCCAAGGCCAAAGGCTTCCTCTACTGACTGGGCTTTTGCCTCCTTCCTTAGGACAGAGCCCCTGGACTCCAAGGCTCCTGGTCAGGGAAGAGAAAGAGGAGACACCTATCTGCCAGGGGTGGGAGTACTGAGTGTGGCCTGAGGGCCAGGCCATTGGTCTCGAGATGCCCCTGCCTGAGCCCAGTGATCAGGAGGATGAGAGCGTGAAGGCTGGCCAGGAGCCTTCCCCCGATGTGGGCACAGATGTTGTCCCAGCAGCCCCCGGGAAACCCCAGGAATTCTCCAATCTGGTCCTGCTGATGGCCTCTGACCAGGATGGGGATGGGGTGGACAAGCCCACAGAAGTGCACTGCATTGTGTCCTTGGAGATGTCTGGCCCTGAAACCCTAGCTAGCACCCTCCAGATCCTTCCAGCCGAGGAGGAACAGGCCGTGGTAGTCCAGCCCAGCCTGAGGGCTCCTGAGCAGAAACGCAGCAAGCTGGATACAGGTGAGGGTTCGTTTGTGAGCCTGCATGCTGAAATGTGTGCCTGTGAACCCACCCTTCCATCATGCTGACCTTGAATGTCCTGTCCCTGCTCTTGGCAGAGCCTCCCAATCTCTAATCACCACCCCATCCCAGGCTGAGGTGCAGACAAGGTGATGTCACCCATGTGCAGTATAGTGCCTCCTAGGCACCCCATCCTCCTTCCCTCATGGGAATTGCAGTGATGAGCAGAATTCCTTCAATTCATCAAAAACACCCCGCTTCTCCACCACGATAAAACCAGCCTGGAAAGTCTGGGCTTTGGGGCTGGCAGTGGGRTTCTGAGAATGTACCCTCTGCACACAGTGACCCTGCTCCACTCCAGATCCCCCTCCCCTCAGTGGCTCTCATCTAAGCCCCTGGATGCTAATCCTGCCCTCCCCTTCCCCCAGCAGCTCCACAGCCCCTGGAGTTYCTGAGGACCCCATTTGGGGGCCGCCTCCTGGTGTATGAGTCCTTCCTGTACAAGCAGGAGAAAGCTGTGGGGGACAAAGTGTACTGGAAGTGCCGCCAGCATGCAGGTCTGGGCTGCCGAGGCCGGGCTGTCACCCGAGGCCTGCGGGCCACAGTGATGCGAGACCACTGTCACCCGCCTGACAAGGAAGCACTGGAGGCTCGGCGCCAGAGGGAGAAGCTGCCCAGCCCGGCCCTGCCAGAGGGCTTGGGGGACCCTCAGGGACCCCAGGGCCCTGTAGGCCAAGTGGAGGAGCCACTTGAGCGGGTGGGCCCGTGGCTGAACCCCGAGGAGCTGGTGCCCCAACCTGGGCAGATACAGAACAAGCCAGCCCAAGAGGAGAACGTGGGGTACCGAGCCCTGTCACTGCTGAGCTTGCCACCCAAGAAGCGCCCAACGTTGGGGATGGGTGAGTACATATCACCTGCCCCTCTCTCACACCAAACATCAGGGTCCCATGTGTTTTTTTGTTTGTTTTTTATACATGTGCTTCTTTTTTTTTTTTAGAGAATTTTTTAATATTTATTTTTTTAGTTTTCGGTGGACACAACATCTTTATTTATTTTATTTTTATGTGGTGCTGAGGATCAAACCCAGCGCCCCTCGCATACCAGGCAAGCACACTACCACTTGAGCCACATCCCCAACCCTAAATGTGCTCTTTTATTGTTGTTGTTGTTCTTGTTAATGGTCCTTTATTTTTCATATGTGGTGCTGAGGATCGAACCCCGTGCCTCACACATGCTAGGCAAGCGCTCCACCACTGAGCCACAACCCCAGCCCCCATGTGTTTTTAAAAGTATACTTAAGAGGGGTTGGGGCTGTGGCTCAGCTGTAGAGCACTCGCCTGGCACGTGCAAGGCCCTGGGTTCAATCATCAGCACCACATAAAAAAATAATAATAATAAATAAATAAATAAATAAAATAAGGTATTGTGTTCATCTACAACTAAAAATATGTATTTTTTTAAAGTATACTCAAGAGAAAAAAGATGTGCTCAAGGTCAAAGTGACTAAAAAAATATAAGCATGTCCCAATGATTAAGCCCATGGGACAGCATCTTTGCTCCTGGACCAGCTGTGATGTAGGGGTCCCAGCTTCTTCCAGAATTATCTGATGGGGGAGGGTCTTGTAAGTCAGAATTTTAACTGGTTCCAGTGATTCTGGCCTTGTAGTTTGAGCAAATGCCAGCCTCAGAAAATAAGCTTAAATTCTAGCATTTCCGAGATTTATCCTAAGGCAGGTGTGATAACCTGGATGTTATGGAGATTGTGGGCTCCATGCATGGGAAGTGCTCAGCACCAGCCCAGCAGGTGGGGCCCTGGCAAGAGATAGATGTGAATTTTCATGGTTTTGTTACCACTAACTAGGAAGTGGGCCTAGATTCCAGAAGGCTGAGGCCTCCTGACCCAGAAGGGATTGAAGGAGTGGAGGTGATTCTATATTGCGTACCTGGGACAGGACAGGGCAAGGGGCTTCTTTTCCACTGTGTATCTTTCAGTATCATTTGAGTTTTATAGCACATGTGCATGTACTGTTCAAAATGTAGATAGATTAAAAAAAATTCTTAGCTGGGTGTAGTGGTGCATGCCTGTAATCCCAGTGGCTTGGGAGGTTGAGGCAGGAGGATCTCAGGTTTGAAACCAGCCTCTAAATTTAGTGAGGCTGTAAGCAACCTAGTGAGACCCTTATCTCGAAAAACAAAAAGGGTTGGGGATGTTGCTCAGTGATTAAGTGCTTGAGTTCAATCCCTGGTACAAAAAAAAAAAAAAAAATTAAACAAGTCCTAAACAATAACCTGTGTCTGGGAACATAGGCTGCTGAGTCACAGCCCAGCTCATCCCCTGCCAGAGTGATTTTGAGTTGGTGTTTTATACCCAGGAGCATGGAACACCTCATTGCCCCAGGAGAGGAACTCCAATTCCTCCCTGGGTGGCTGCAGGGAGGGTCAGTGGGAACATACCCAGGCTCTGCACATGCCCAGCTCTGGGGAAGCTGTAGCACAAACCAGCCATACAGGAGAAAAACACCTTTCAGTCGCCAGTTGTGCTGCTAGCCATCTTTCCTGGGACCCCTGGCTCCTTCCCTTCTTGCTGTCTCTGTCTCATGACTGCCCTGGGTCCCTCCCACAGGCCATTTCCGGCCTCTCGAGTTCCTGAGGACATGCTATGGGGGCAGCTTCCTGGTGCACCAGTCATTCCTGTACAAGCGGGAGAAGGCTGTGGGGGACAAGGTATACTGGACCTGCCGGGACCACACCCTACATGGCTGCCGCAGTCGTGCTATCACCCAGGGCCAACGGGTGACAGTGATGCGGGGCCACTGTCACCAACCTGACATGGAGGGCTTACAGGCTCGGAGGCAGCAGGAGAAAGCCATGGAGAAACTTCAGGCCAGGCCAGATGGCCTTGAGGGCTGTGCGGACAAGCAGCTCCCAGGTGTGGACAGCCTGCTCTACCACAGGGGGCCGGGCACCCTGACTCTCACCAGGCCCCGGCCCAGAAAGAAAGCTAAAGTCAAAGATCCGGAGCTGCCTGCCCAACCCCAAGCCCTGGAGGGATCCCTTGATGAGGACCAGGATGCGGACCCTGGTGAGTCTTTGTCCTTGAGGATGTTGGCTCCCAGCTGGCCACACCTCGAGCCTTGCTTCCTGAATTCCAGGGAGACATCCAGCCTGCCCAGCCTGCCCCTGCATCTTCAGCCCTCTTACCTGCTCCCTGCCTCCTCCCTGACTGCCCCTCTGGTTTTCCTCAGGAGGTCCTGAGTTCCTGAGGACCCCTCTCGGGGGCAGCTTCCTGGTGTATGAGTCCTTCCTCTACAGGCGGGAGAAGGCCGCTGGCGAGAAGGTGTACTGGACATGCCGGGACCAGGCGCGCATGGGCTGCCGCAGCCGGGCCATCACCCAGGGCTCTCGGGTGACCGTGATGCGAGGCCACTGCCACCCACCCGACCTGGTGGGACTGGAGACCCTGAGGCAGCGGGAGAATCGCCCCAGCCCCACCCAGCGGGGGAGCACAGGTGCCTGGAAGACTTCGCAGGCTTCCCTCCTGGCCTCGCATGTTGCTCCCTCCTCCTTCATTAGGTGAAGATGCTGGAGGAGCCACATCCGCCACCTCTGGCGCTCCCCTAGCCCCCGCCCCTCAGCCCACCTGCGTGTCCCACTCTCTTGAGTGTGAGCTCACCTCCTGCTCCACCCAGCCCGCCCCTCAGGCTTACAGTGCAAGCAGATAAACATACTTCCTGTGACAAGCCCCTCTTACAATCTGGGGCCCAAAGTTGGTATCAGACCTCCCCAGCTTGTCACAGATCTGTTGCATTTGTCCCTATCTGGTCACCACMACCATGAGTGGTGTTTTATTTGGTTTGAAGTTTTGTTGGTGCTGGGGATGGAACCCAGGGCCTCCCGCATGCTAAGCAAGGGCCCTGCCACGAAGCAGCACCCCAGCCTGTGCCTCACTCTCCTGTTCTTGGGGTCACCCCAGGTGAGTCTATGCCTGTCCTCATCCGTCCTGCCTGCCGAGGAGAGTAAGTTTAGCCCCATCTTCTCATCTTCCCGGCTCACCCTTTGATGGTGGGTCAGGTGCTTCCTCGCTCCTGCCTCTTCCTATTCTATAGTTTTCGGCCCTAAAGCTCTCCCAAACTTGAGAGCCCTGGTTGAATTCTCTCCGACTCCCACTTTATTCCATTTCCATTCACTTTTGGTTCGGTGAGAGGAGACTGTGAGGCACATCCGCGCCCATCACCACCCCACAAACACCACTCCACGGGGATCCTGTTGTTTCTTAGGGCATCTGCGGCCTGATCTTGAGCTGTCTTTTACCACTATGAATTGGCTTTCCAGTTTCCTTTGTCACTGTTGACTTCTGGCCAGAGAAAGCGAGCGTGTGGCCTCTCCAGGCCCGTTTTGCCCATTTCTTTCCACTTTGCCATGGAGGCCTGTCCCAGCCGAGCCGGGGTGTCCTACTGCCCTTCCCTACGCAGCGCTCTGCATCCTCCGTGGTCCAGTAGCTGCTTTGCCTGGTCCTCTGAGGACCTGCTGCAACCTCCTTCCTCCTCCCTGCACCAATCCCCTGTACCAACCTCACCAATAGCTCTGTGTCCTTTGGTGATGGCCTCTAGGCCCTGCTGCTGCCTGGCCTGGGGGCTGGGACCTGGCTGGCCACCACCCCAGAGTGTCTTCTACAGCCCCCTGCCCCTGGGCCTGTCTCTTTTTCTTCATTTCACTCTTGTTTTGAGGCTGGGGAAGTCCCTCCTCTGGTCACTCCTGAGTCTACCTGGCAGGGACTACTTGAGACCCTGCCTATCTGGAGCTGCTGGCAAGCTCCCCTCGTCGTGCAACCATGTGTGGGCACCACGCTGTGAAGGATCCCTCTGTGGCGGCTGAACCTGTTGTGGACCAGCATAGCAGTTCCCCAGTGCCTGGCCCTGTGCGATGGCTCTGCTCAAGGACTTGGGGCTCTCTGCCCTTCCCTGCTGTGCCTGGCTGTGAGGGGTCACTGGGGGCCTTTCAGGCCTCAGCTTGTGCCCTTCAACGGAGAGCATCTTCCRGTGTTCCTCATCTGGTTTCTTTCTGTGCCTTCCATTACTGGGATGTCAAGCCTCCTGGGATGACTGACATTTTTGTGATATTGTCCAAGATTTTCTCAGTTTTGTTTTTTAATGCTGTATTTAAGTTTCTTCTCTTATTTCCTGCCACCCCCACTCCCGCAGTACTGGGGATTTAACCCAGAAGTGCTCTACCACTGAACCACATCCCTAGCCCTTTTTATTTTTAGAGACAGGGTCTCACTAATGTTGCTTTGGCTGGCCTTGAATTTGCAATCCTCCTGCCTCAGCATCCCGAGTACCTGGGGTTACAGATGTGCCCACTGCACGTAGCCAGTTTCTGTTCTGTAGTTGAACATGCCTTTCGTGTTCCACAGTCTCAGCAGAGTGATGGCCTCCATTTCTTTCCTGCGGTGGCTGCAGCCTGGTTTCTCCAAGTGTCCTTTCTCCAATTGTCTGCCATAGTCTTTCCAGAAGCAGCTCCTCTTGGACGTCCAGTTACCCCCAGGGTCTGCTCACGATGAAGGCAGACTCTGGCTAGCTCTGCATGCAAGTGCTGACCAGTTCGAACGTCTGCCAYGGGACCGCAGGCCATGCCTCAGTGGGTCTTTGAGCAGGATAGACAGGACAGACCTGCCCAGGGCACACAAGCCTGGCTGCCCGTGTTCTGGTCTTGGGCAGGAAAGCGGGTAGAAGTGTGAGCTTTCTAGTGCAGACTTCGACTTCCTCCCTACACATGGCTCAGCATCTCTCCCCAAGACTTCTTCCTGACATGCTGCTGCATCTTGTTTCCATGCTCTTCCCCCAGCCTGCTGTGTGGGGCCCATGGTGGACCCCATCTTTGTGGACCTCAGGTCTCCAGTTCCCCTCCCTGGGCTCTGCCGAGGGTTCCTCTGGCTTCCTGGTCGCTTCCCTGCCAGGCCTGGTTGTGTTCTCAGTCTGCCATGTCTTTAACTACCCTCCTGCCCCCCGGTCCTAGTCTCTCATTCTGTCGGCTCCTCTGGCCTACTCTCCCCTCCTCCTCCCCAAGTCTTTGGCCTTCTGTTCTGTGCCTTTTTTATTCCCTGACATTTTAATGCAGTGAGGAAGGCAGTGAACCCATGGCCCATGGTCACATATGTATSTTATTTGCCTCAGGCAGGTGTCCCCACTCCTTCCTGGCTGGCTGCCTGTTCCTGGTCCAGGGCCTTGTGCTACACTCTGCACCTGCAGCTGTTCCTCCTGGGCCTCTCCCCTTAGCATCCCAGCTACTCTACTCCCTGTGCTCTCCAGGTGGTTCCACAGCCAGATGCCCCGCCCTGGCCCTCACTTTGCTCTCCTGGCTTCTCCTGCTATCTGAGAACTTGAGTGCCTCCAGCCCCCTCTGTGTGGCCCCTGTGCCTGGACTGAGGGAGGGTGTCCTCTGTGAAATGGGAAGGGCTGTCCTGCAGGTGATTCAAGCTGCTCCCACCCTCCTCCCCACACCCTTGCTCAAATCTCCACTCAGCCTGGTTCCCAGGGGAGTGACCTTTCCGCAGCCCTGTCCCTCTAGGTCACAAATCCCTGTTTAGCTCCTGAGCTTCTTTGTTCCCCAAAGCCATTCCTTTTTCCTCTAACTGAGCAGTACAACACACGCCCACCTGCTGGCCCTGTGGGAGCCCTCATAGATGAGCACATATACCAAAGCTGTAGCTACCTTCCGGTGGGTACTGTGGGGTGGGCGCTCCACCTGCAGGGTCCTTGTGGGTCAGTCTCCTTCCTCAGGAAAGGGAGGCCCTAGCAGCTGAAGGCCTAGCTGTTTTGGAGGGATGGTGGGTTCTGTGACCTGGGCTTCAGGGCCACCTAACAGCGAGTAGGTGATGCAGATAGGTGGGGGGTCCTCATTCAGGGGCCATGCTGTTCTTGGCTCTGAAAACAGGGGCACACCCCACTTCTTTCCTGCTGGGGCCTGGGCTCCAGGCTCCTGCTCTCTAACTGCCTCCCCATCTCCGCAGGAGGTCCTGAGTTCCTGAAGACGCCTCTTGGGGGCACCTTCCTGGTGTACGACTCTTTCCTGTACAGACGCGAGAAGGCCGCTGGCGAGAAGGTGTACTGGACATGCCGAGACCAGGCGCGCATGGGCTGCCGCAGCCGGGCCATCACCCAGGGCCAGCGGGTGATGGTGATGCGCAGGCACTGCCACCCACCCGACCTGGCGGGTCTGGAGTCCCTGCGACAGCGGGAGCACTTCCCCAACCTGACCCACTGGGAAGGCCCAGGTGCGGGCAGAGGGGAGCAGGATGGGCAAGCCTGGGCCCCGGTCTCCCTGCCTGGATGCTTTGTCCACTCCAGGTCTCTTGTCTTTCAAATCTGTCTTCCTGCCTTCTCCTGTTCTCCCTGTGCTGCCCCAGCTTTAGTTCCCACCTGGTTTTCTCTGGCCACCCCACCTCCAATATCACAAGACCTTCAGGTCAGCTTCTTAAATGTCTGAGAGTTTGCTGGCTGAGGGGCAGGTGGACAGGGAACTGGGAGACCCCTGGTACCTGGACCGGATCAGCCATAGGTCCCCCAGAATGGCCCAGCTTCTGCCCTGGGAACCTGCCAGCAAGGGCATAGTTCTAGTGGTCAGGAGAGCTGTCCAGCAGAGCTCAGGGTTTGGGCAGCTTCAGGGTCAGCAACAGAGCCCTTGGAAAGGAAGCCARTCTGCATTTGTGGGTGTCAGGGCTGGTAGGTCTGAGCTTTAGTCCCCGTGGCCCTAAAAGTCAGGCAGAAAGGTGAGGGAGACGGGACCACAGTGGTTCCTTCTGGGGGGATTGCGTTTCTTGGCCTGGGGTAGGGGACAGAGCACCCCTCCATTCTGACATGGAGGCACATCCCCTGCCAGCAGGCCTGGGTTCCAGGGCCCCATACCGCTCTCTTTCCCCTCCAGAGCCCCTGGAGCCCCTGGAGTTCCTGAGGACTTCCCTGGGGGGCAGGTTCCTGGTGTAYGAGTCGTTCCTGTACAGGAAGGAGAAGGCCGCTGGTGAGAAGGTGTACTGGATGTGCCGGGACCAGGCCCGGCTGGGCTGCCGCAGCCGGGCCATCACCCAAGGCCATCGGGTGATGGTGATGCGCAGCCACTGCCACCAGCCTGACCTGGTGGGCCTGGAGGCCCTGCGGCAGCGGGAGCGGCTCCCCAACCCAGCCCAGCAGGAGGACCCAGGTACACACAAGCAGGTGGGTGGGAGTCAGGGAAGGCAGAAAAGCTGTGGATGTCAGGGTCTCTGCCAGCCCAGGAGACAGGGGTCCCTCTGGAGCTTCATGTCTGGCCCTACTACCTTTCCAGACCCTTCASGGCTCCTCCCTGTCACCTGAAACCACCCCACACCCGTCCTCCCTGCAAACACAGCCTATCCCAACTACCAACTTTCTTCTTTCTTTAGTTCTAAGACATTTTTTTTTTTCAGGTCATTGTCTTTTTTGAAAATCTGATAAAAAATACAGCCTACTCTAGAAGGTTGTGCTGATGTGTGTGGAGTGTACACAGGCACACACACACACAGAGTTTGTCTACAATTAATCATATTGAATTGAAAATGGGTTCCCCGCACTTAAACAAATGTAAAACCAGACCAGACGTTATTTATTTGGTCCTGGGGATTGAACTGAGAGGCACTTTACCACTGATTATTTTTTATTTTAAGACAGAGTCTCACTAAATTGCTGAGACCGACCTTGAACTTGGTATCCTCCTGTCTCAGTCTCCCACGTCACTGAGATTACAATTGTGCCCCTGCGCACCTAGTGAAAACCAGCCTTTAGAAGGCATCCTGTGGGGCTGGGGCTGGGGCTCAGTGGCAGAGCACCTGCCTGACATGTATGAGGCACTGGGTTCGATTCTCAGCACCACATACAAATAAAGGTATTGTGCCATCTACAACTAAAAAAAA